CAGATGATGTCCATCTCAACTACTCACTCTGCTGTTGAAGTGTCAACTGAAAACAAAAACAAGAAAAACACAACCTGAGAGCTGTGAGTTAACGTTTATTTGGGGCAGAATGAGGACTACAGCCCTGGAGACAGCCTCTCAGATAGCCCTGAGAAACTGCTCCGAAGAGGCAAGGGGGAAGGTCAGTCAGTATTATATTTGATTTTAGTGAAGAGGGTACATGCAGTCAAATACAGATTTTGGCAGAAGATTGTTGCCAGTCAAAAGGAACAGATGTCACTATTAATGATTTTAGTAATTTTATAGATACAAGGCACAGAGTGCCTCATTCCTGATCTCCACCCTGGACTCCTTTTAGGGTATTTGAAGGTCAGTGACCACAGTGGCTAAGTGATTTCATTCTTATAGAGGCAAATGACAAGTGCCAATTTTTAGTTGGCAGTTTTGTAAAAGCAGCTATATACAATGTATAAAGTGAATGTGAATGCCTGCATATTAATAAAAGTTTATTTATGGCACTGAAATGCGACTTTCACATAATTCTCACATGTTATAAAATATCCTTCTTCAGATTTTTTTCAACCACTTGAAAATGTAAAATCACTCTTAGCTCACAAGTTATACAAAAACAGGTGGTGACCCCACTTCCAACCAGGAGCCATAGTTTGCCAACTCTTCTGGTGCCACACATTTACTCACTGACGCAGAAAGCACCCTTCCATTCATCACATTCTAAGCCATGAGGATAGCTCAGGTCTCTTGATGCGAGTAGTGTGCTGAATAATCGTGGTATGAGAAGGAGGAATAGTACAGTTGGAGATATGCATGAGATGATTGAATTTAAACTCATCCACAGAACTTTGCTGGCATCCAGTGGTTAAGACTCCACGCTCCCAGTGCAGGGCACAGGCTCGATCCCCGGTCAGGGAAGATCCTACTTGTTGTGTGGTGCGGCCCTATAGAAACAGACTCATCCTCAGTTGAGTCCAGTGTTTCTTAGCTTTGGCTACATATTGCAGTCACTGGTGATGGGGGAGTGGTGAGTGGTGGTAAAGCATCTTGATGCCTAGATCCCGTGCCCAGAGGGTCTGATGTGGTTAGTTTTGGGTGCATCTTGAGCTTGGGGTTGTTTAAAAGCTCCTATGGTGTTTCTGATGGGCAGACTAGGGTGAGGGCCCCTTGTCTCCCATAAGACAGTGGGGAGAAAGAAGTTGCAGTTGGGGATCACCAAAAACCCGGAAGGTTGAGCCTCGTTCAGCTTTTTTCCCTTTTATTTCTCATTTTTAGCACCTCTTTCTCATTTAACAGGCTCGCTTCACTTTCTAATTACAACCTCTCTTGCCTGTCTCTCAGGTGTTTTATTTCAGATCTCCAATAACTAAAAGGAGTTAGGAAGGCATGTAAACTGCAGAATGAATATCATGTCGTCTTAGTGTCATGTTATGTCCTAGCCTCATTGTCCCAGTGAACATGGTATCTTTCAGATTAATGCTGTCTTTGGCTGATCTTTTACAAAAACCCTCATTTTCGCAGGCAGGCAGAGGCTCAACCTTGTCAGTCTGCTCTGGGAAGGTTGAATCCTGGGAAATTCTTTGCAGGCTTCAACTCCTGGGAGACCACACTGTAAACCAGAAAAGGAACTTGTTCAATTAGAGTTTCTGTCCCTTCTCCTTGAATTCTTTACCTAGAAATTGATATATCTAGGAAGCCATTATCAAGGTTTGAGGCCAGCATGAAATTAGAGATAACAGAATGGAAGCCTTTTTAAAAGTAAGCTAAAATAAGGGAAACTCTTTCCTGCCCTAGGAAATGTATCTTTCAAGTAATTCAGGATTTCCAAGCTCCCCAGACAGTGTCACATTCCCCATACTTTGGGCCTATTAGGTCAAAAGGAATGTATCCCTTTCTTGTCAATTTTCCCCTAAGCAGATTTTAGCATCAAGGTTTGTTAGAATTGATTTCTAATATTTCTAATTTAAATATCACTAACATGATATATGGATCCAAAATAGCTCTTTCTTAATTGAACTTTAAATTTCTCTAATTTTGACTTGAGGAGGCTTTTATCCTCTTCTTATTTGAGTGGCAACGATTCACATATTTTATGTCAGATTTTGTATAACATCTGAAAGAATTGGCACACAAGTATTTATGATATTCTGCCTCATTAGACTAAATCTTTTTTAGTTTGATCAAATGAAGCATTCAACTGAGAGGAAAATATTATTAAGAAGCTCACAGTAAATGTCAGGGATAAATGTGAAAGTGTATGTCATTTTTAAGATAATGCTTCTGACAACAGTAATTTCGAATGGCTGGCTTATGAGCACAAGACTTTTTTTCCCCCTTATTACAGGATAGCCTCTTGAACGTCATCAACACTTAATCAACTTCTGCTAGAGCTTCCACATAAATGGGACTTTGGTTTCTAGGAAGGTTAATCCATGGTGGAGACTTTTCCAAGACCACCTGGGTCTGGGAGGACCTTCATCACAGACATAAGCAGAAATACCCACACAAATTCCCTTGGATCATAATCTCTTGGTTCATTTCTGCAAGATTCAGTCCAGTCCTTTTTCTTTTGAGACTTTACCTAAAACAGTATGGCGGCTCCGATGGTAAAGAATCCACCTGTCAATGCAGGAGACATGGGTTCAATCCCTGGATCGGGAATATCCTCTGGAGGAGGAAATGGCAACCCACTTCTGTATTCTTGCCTGGAGAATTCCATGGACAGAGAGCCTGGTGGGTTATAGACCATGGGATCACAAAGAGTCGGATACAACTGGGTGACTAACACTCACTTTTTTTGAGTTGAACATGCCTGAGTGACTTTCACTTTTTTTTTTTTAACCTAAAACAGTAGGGAGAGACTTTTTTTTGGCAGTATTACTGTAAGAATAAAGAACCTCTGGGCAGTGTACAGCATCCCTGGGTAGGTCTCTAAGTCCCATCTCCATTGAACTTGTGAGAAAGAACAGCATCACTTGGGAAAGGTATAAACATTGTTAACTGTTGCCAAATGTAGAAATATTGCACCTGAGATAGGAGGACAGGGAAATCACCAAAGAATTTCAAACTGTATCAGTCTATTTAATCCCCAAATCTTATTTTCTTGTCATCAGACACAAAAGACACAGTCATAGACCCTTTCTGAGCAGAGTCCATAGTACTATAATTTATTTAGACCGCCAGTTCTAGAAAGAACCTGCCAGGGACTGTTTCTGTGTAGTATTGAAGGACTGCTACCCAGAAAATTTTCTGAGCTCTCTTAATCAAATTCTAAGAAACTAACTCCCAGCTCTCTCAATTCTTTAATTATCTTCTCCTTGATAGCATTCCTCTTCTAGATTCTATCCATGTAGAACCTGCCTGGTTGTAACAATTTGATTGGCAAAATGATGCATAAACAATTTAAAGAACTAGCATGAGCTTGAATGCTGTCTTTGAATAAGCAGATAATTCTGTTTTTATTCTGACTTTATCATATGTTAATACTAACTCTGTATGTTATTAATACTAATTCTATATGCATGTGTGGAATAAATGCCTAACCTCTCTAAGCCTCATTTTCTTCATCTGTAAAATACGAATGTTCATACCTTTTTTTTTTTTTAAGGAAAATAAATGAATGTTGTGGAATGGAGACTGTCAAACACCTAGACAATATTCAGTAAATGCAGCTGCTGCTTGCATAAATCTCGAGAGTTGTGGTGGCTGGTTGTATCAATCAGGGCCTGTTTTATTTTGGTGGCTTCTCTGGTGCACAACCTTGAAAAAAGTTACAAGCTGTGATTAACAGCTCCAATGTTTGTTGCTTATTCTTTCTTCTGCCAGATTTTTCTTCTACTAATGACCCATGTGCCATCATTCTCTTTAAAATATGCCCTTCCTTTATTCCTATAAGTCTCTCCTCCAGTTGGCTCAACTGTGAACTCTAACCACTATTAACTGTCACTGTTGTGCTTTAATAAGAAGATGTTTATTATTATAGGTACACTTATAAATTATTAAAATAGTAACTGAAAGAGTGAAATTCACAAGGGCTTACATTTTACTACTGAGCATATTTTGTGCTCACTGATGGCAAAGAATGAAAGTACAAACACCTCCCTTAAATTCTAATTTGTCAAAATTTATTTACTTATGAAACTCCATTTAATAAGAAAATTGCGATCACCTCCAGGCAGGAACTGTTTTTTTTTTCTCATGAATCATTATTGAATGGAATTGAATCCATTTTAGCAAACATACAAGTGAATCCAACTTATTTACAAAAATGTCATTATTTTTAGCCTTCATTTATTAAATGTGCACCATGAGCCAGTCACTAAAACAGTGAGAAATAAAATATAATTGCCAATCTTTGATTAACTATGTACTGAGTGCATCCTTTGCACCAAGATATTGTGAAGGTGCTGGAGGTGTCATGGTAAGTATGTCATCACCTCTGTCCCCAAGGAGCCCATGTTGAAAGAGGTCCCAAGGCCCATGTATCTGTTAAGTAGCCAAAGAAGACATTATGTAGGCAACTTCTACAGAGTCTGGCAAAGACTGTAAGTCATGAGGAATTGAGTAGAGCAGAGGTTGGCAAGGCCTGTGATGGACAGAGAAAGCACATTCAGGGAGGCTGGACTTCATTTGGCCCTTGAAGGATGGGAGGATTTGGATAAACCGAGAATGACAAATAAGGCTTATCGAGTGGGGGAGAATGTGAGCAAAAGCCTTAGAAGTGGAAGCAATAACACGAGCAAGCGTGGTGAGTTGGAAAAATAGTTGGCGACCTGGGCTGGCTAGAAGAATACTGCTGAGCAGTGGGAAGAGAGTTGGAGAGGTAAGTTCAATTACGAAGACGCTGGAGTCAGACAAATGGTGTTGAACCTCATGAGCCCTTGAAGGTACCAATGTGTTGCCATTGTTTTCTGGGGAGTTTTCCCTGACTATTTCTTTGGTCACTGCTCTACTTCCATTTTAAAATCAGAATGTTTTTTCTCATTTAGGGGAAGCACTGGTTCATCAGATTTCAATGAGCCAGAAGCTGGTCCTGGAACTCCAAAGAGTGTCCGGAGCAGTGGTGTGACCCCAGGCACTCCGAGGTCACCGGCCCCCAGCACCCGCAGTGTGACCTCAGTCAGCAGTCAAGTAAGTACACAGATGTGAAGGAACAGCTCCATCTGGGACTCAGCCTAACCACCGAGGCATGGCTAGCCTTCAGCTCTCTGAACCTGAGAGCCTGTTGTTGATCGTGTTTAACAGTAATAGATGTTTCTTGCTCAGAACTGAACCTCCTACATCCATAGCTTATGGCAGGAGGCCTCAAGTGTGAAGGAAAGGGAAAGGGCAGTTTCAGAGGTGGAATTTTTTTAATGGGGGTTTCAATGGCTACATGGTTTCAGTAAAATATAAATCATGTTTAGCACTCTGTGATTTTGATCATTCACTTTATTTGTCAAGAACTTGACTGTTATAAAATGCTGCCAACAGATTTAAATTAGGAAAGGTAGACTCTTAAAATATTTTTATCATTTTCTTTTCAATACATCTGTTAAAGTGTCTCCACATCACAGAAATTTAAATTGCATTGTGTGTGTTGTGTGTGTGAGCTGTTCTTTTGAGTGAATGCACATCTACTAGATTGTTTGATTAAGCAAGAAACTCCATATAGATAGTTCACATATTATATCTTTACATACAAACTACAATTCTTTGATTCTGCCAATATTTAATGAGGGCCTTCTCTATGCCAAGCCCTGGTCAAACAAAGACTTGAAAGAAGTGAAAGAATTAGGCTTGAGAGCGTCTCTTGCAAGGTTGTCATCCATGCTGGGACAGCACTGATGTTTAGCAAATACATTATGGGAAGGCTGTTGGAATCACTTTATATTGAAATCACTTAAATCAAGGACCACCATCTGCATAGTCAGTGCCCTTGCTTCACCAGAGTCTGAAAGATCTTTAGAGCAGCCAGTGCAAAGACCCTGAGGTGGGAGCATATGTGGTGTGTTCAAGGAAGAACAGGGAGGCCTGTGTGGCTGTTATGAGTGAACAAAGGGAGGGGTACGAGAAAATGAGTTCAGAGGGGAAGTAGGGCCAGATGGGCCATGTGGACTCTTTTTGCACTTTGGCATTTACTCTGAAGAAGATGGCAGCAGTTGGAGAATTTTCAGCAGACTAGTGACATGATCTGGCTTATGTTTATGCTGGATCTGAGGGCTGTGCTGAGAAGAGCCTGTTGGAACAAGAGTGGAAGCCAGAAGGCTGGTTAGGAAGGAGTCCATAGTATTACTGCAGGAGGTGTTACTGGGCTTTGGAACATGAAGATAGATGTGGAGATTGTGAACGACAAGATTCTACAGATATTTTTCATGAAGAGTCCAAAGGCATTCAGACAGATTGAAGAAGAAGAAGAAGAAGTGTATTTAAACAGTTTTAGTCTAAATTAAACTTGTTGATAAGATAAAAGGCCTATTTAAATTTTCGTCTGTATTTATACTTCGCTCCACAAACAGTATTGTTCAGTAGCCAGAAAAGTGCTTGCACAGTTGGTGACTGTACTCACTTCTCTGGCAGCCTAAAAAGGGATAGCATTCAAAATATTTAGAAACTGGTATGTCAGGGGCACTGAGCCATAAGAACAGACCCTGGTGCAAGATTGGGCAGCATCCTGAGGGCCCTCCCAGGCCATGCAGTAACCTGGACTGTGGGGAGAGCTAGGGTTGTGGAGGACAGGAGCACAGGAAGAAGGCGTGGACTGGGAGTTGCCCTGCTCACCAACTGATCCAGAAGTATTAAAAAAAATGTCAACAGCTGGTACAGCTCTGCTAGTGGGAAGCAGCAGACTGTCAGTCCAATAATTAGTAAGTTAGTCAAGTTTGTTCTCAAAACAAGGCTTATCTTCCTAAGTACCATCACTGGCAGTGGGGGGTAAGGAGGGAGCTCCCTTCTCATGTACTACATATCTACAGCCTTTAGATGAATATTTTTTTTTAATTTTAAGAACTTTAAACCATTAAATTGCAATTGATTTCCAATGTTGTTACTTTCTGCTATCCAGCAAAGTAATTCAGTTATACACATATATGCATTCTTTTTTTAGATTCTTTTCCATTATGCTTTATCATAAGAGACTGACTTGTTTATCCATTCCACATATAATGGCTTACATCTGCTAACCCCAGTCTCCAACTCCATCCCTCCCCCCAAACCCTCTCTCTTGGCAACCACAAGTATGTTCTCTGTGTGTACGATTCTGTTTTCTGTTTTGTAGACAGGTTCATTTGTCATATTTTAGATAAGATTTGTTGTTCTGACTTACTTCACTCACTGTGATAAACTCTCAGTGCATCCAGGTTGCAACAGATATATGAATACTTCTTTATTAAACAACACCTGCGCTCTGCTTAGTGGCTCAGTCATGTCCAACTGTTTGCGACTCCAGGGACTGTAGCCCGCCAGGCTCCTCTGTCCATGGGGATTCTCCAGACAAGAATACTGGGGAGGGTTGCCATGCCCTTCTCCATGGGATCTTTCCAACCCAGGGATCGAACCCAGGTCTCCCACATTGCAGGCAGATTCTTTACCATCTGAGCCACAAGGGAAGCCCTAGATATTCCCCAATAAAAATTTCCTGTGATTGAGTGAGTAGACATATGTATTGATATATATAGGCTCAGATGGTAATGAATCCCCCTGCAGTGCAGGAGACCTGGGTTCCATGTTCCCTGATTTGGGAAGATCCCCTGGAGAAGGGCATGGCAACCCACTCTAGTATTCTTGCTTGGGAAATCCCATTGACAGAGGAGCCTGACAGGCTACAATCCATGGAGTCACAGAGTTGGACACGACTGAGCGACTAACACACACATATGGTGCTTGTGCTAATCTCATGCTTGTATTCTAACTGATATAGCTAGTCTTTTCTAAAAGAAAAAGAGGCACAAAGAGAAATACTTTCTGTTGAATAAACTTAGTGCAGCACAGTACTTTATGAAGCATATTTGCTCTTTCATGATGAAGAAAAGACCCATATAGAGTTACATGATGATCAACTTAACAATTTTCTCAATTTCTCCCACTTCTCAGCATCTCTTTATTTCAGTGTTCTTGTCTGCTTTAGCATCTGAGAAGTACCTTTTTAAAATGGAAAATTCTTAGAACATGAAAATCTCTAACCTGTGCTCTGCTATGATATAACTTATTAATTTTAGACCTCACATCCTGGATCCCCAGGGTATGTGTTACATACTGTGCAATATTAATTGGCCTATTAGTGCTCAATATTAATGTTATTCCCAGGGTGCCAGTTGGAAAATTTACCGTCACTGTTAATTGCTGCTAAGGAAGTTGGTCTTGCTTCATTGGAGGAATCCATGTGTGACCACCTTTTTGAATAGGTGGCAATTAGAAAAGTTAGGACTTATATTCCTCCTGCTACAGGCAGTATGTGTTGGCAAATACTCAAAGACCAAATCCAATCTATATTGGAGTTGCATTGATTTGCATTTCTATCTTTCTGAAATGAGTTCATTAACATTGCCTCAGTGCCTAAGTAATGAGGTAAATGTAGGGCACCAAGAAGGGGATTCCTTTCTCTAGGACATTTAAAGACAGTTTTTGACTGTTTTTGGAAGGGGCAACTGAAGAGTCTCTTTTAGGTTCAATCATATCACATCATGGTGTCATTTGCATGGACACTTAACCTTAGTCCAGTTCTCAGAAGTGCAAAACTGGTTTAATACTTAAGTGAACTTGGAACAATGCAATTGTCAAGCCCCTGTGGGCACAGGCAAAATTGGGACAGAATTTTCCTTTATAATGAAATTAAGTGTCACTGTTAGTGGGAATTTAAGTTGGTGTAGTCACTGGAAAATAGAGGTTCCTTAGAAAACTGAAAATAGAGTTACTATATGATCCACCAATCCCACTCCTGGGCATATATCCAGATAAAACTATAATTGAAAAAGATACATGCACCCCTATAGCATAGCAGCACTGTTCACAATAGGCAAAACGTGAAAACAACCCATATGTCCATGAAGAGATGAATGAATGAAGAAGTTGTGATATGTATACACAGTGGAATATTACTCAGCCATAAAAAGAACAAAATAATGCCATTCATAGCAACATGAATGCAACTAGATCATACTATGTGATGTTAGATAAATACCATGTGATATCACTTATATGTGGTATCTAAAACATGGCACAAATGAACTTATTTGCAAAACAGAAACAGACTTGCAGAGAACAGACTTGTGGTTGTCACGGGGGAGGGAAAGGGATGGACTAGGAATTTGGGGTTGGTAGATGCAAGCTATTACATTTAGAATGGATAAATAAGAAGATCCTACTATATAGTATAGGTAACTATTTCACTATCTTGTGATAAACCATAGTAGAAAAGAATATAAATAAGAAGGTATGTATTGTGTAACTGAGTCACTTTGCTATAGAGCAGAGATTTTCACAACATTGTAAGCCAACTATACTTCAATAAAAGAATTAAAAAAAGAGAAAACATAAAGTGTTAGACTGAATACCATTACATGAACAAGCAAGTAGATGCTGCTGCTGCTGCTTCTAAGTCGCTTCAGTCGTGTCCAACTCTGTGCAACCCCATAGACGGCAGCCCACCAGGCTCCCCCATCCCTGGGATTCTCCAGGCAAGAACACTGGAGTGGGTTGCCATTTCCTTCTCCAGCACATGAAAGTGAAAAGTTAAAGTAAAGTCGCTCAGTCGTGTCCGACTCTTAGCGACCCCATGGACTACAGCCTAGCAGGCTCCTCCGTCCATGGGATTTTCCAGGCAAGAGTACTGGAGTGGGGTGCCATTGCCTTCTCCAAGCAAGTAGATACCCACCCACCCCCAAAAAAACCCACCTTTTCCTATAAGCAGGGAAGTCTCCACTCTTTATCCTTTTATGAACATTAATAAGTGCCTTGCATGAAATTTTATTGCCATAATGATGTAGGAGGACTTCCCGGGTGGTCCAGTAGTTAAGAATAAGCCTTCCATTGCAGGGAATGAGGGTTCGATCCCTGGTCTGGGAACTAACATTCTGTATGCAGTGTGGCAACTAATCCCATGTACTGCAACTAGAGAGCCCAAGTGCCATAATGAAGATCCTGTGTTGCCACTGTTAAGACCCAACACAGCCAGATAAATAAATTTAATAAAATAATGAAAAACTTAAAGTAAATAATGATGTGGGCAACCATATTCTGATCATCCAGCCTATGAGATGGGGAGGGTGGCATGCTTTTCTGTTAAGTGAGGGGTGGTGAAAGTAAGGTGTGGTTGAGGAGAGAGAGTGTGGAGAATGAGGGCAAACGTGGAAGCAAGAGTTCTAACCCTGAGTACTACTCTGAGGGTGTGAAGCTTGCCATATTCATACACATAGTTCATGTAAGTTTGGAGGTTCTTACACCATCTTTACTGAAAACCTTATAACATTCACTAATTTTGTGAACAAATAATTATTTCAGACACCTTTTGTGCTAGTTAGCAAAACTCTTGGTAGATATTTTTGAGAGTATTGAAGTAAGTTTTAGAGTTATATGGACTCCTGTTGAGGGTTCTCTAGGTGTCAACTGGCTCCTCTTGAAGAGTAAGATAGATATGGTTATACTGGTAGGTGGAAGTATTTGGAAGTCAATTACAGTCAATATTATGTGTATATTTCCATTTCTACTTTGTGAGAAGGAACGTGGTTTTGAAAATTCCACCGATTTGGCTGTCATTGAAAGCACCTCTGAGGACCTCACAAGGACTCATCGCCGAAAACCTTCCAGCACACCATCCATAGCAGTGTCCCGGGCCTCCCTCTCCTCAGGTGAGTATTTCCAACCTGACTGCTCTGTTGTGAAAATGACTAAATCAGGTGAAACTGACTGCCTGGTGTGGCTTTAAATGTATGTTTCATGCCTTTGAAAATAATCATCCACTCTTTGACCCATGGTGTTCGGCCCACTCCATAAGAACTGTTGAAATGTGGACCCATGTGATGCCTTGAGCCCCTTGCAAAATATGTGAATTTTGGATTTGATAAGCGTATACAGTCATGGGGTTTCCCAGATAGTGCAGTGGTGAAGAATCTGCTTGCCAAGGCAGGAGACGTGGGTTCGATCCCTAGAGGAGGAAATGGCAATCCACTCCAGTATTCTTGCCTGGGAAATCCCCTGGACAGAGGAGCCTGGTGGGCTACAGTCCATAGGGTCTTAAAGAGCCAGACCTGACTGACAGAGCCGAGAAGTCAGTAGAGGAGTTCAGGAAATATAATTGGCTCATTTAATACAAAAGATAAAGACACGTGCCCAGAATTCAAGGAAATGGTAGTACCATTGACACATCGATCAGAAGTGCCCTGTATTTAGACAGATGAATCATTATTCCCTGGTTTAAATAAGGCCTTCTTTGCAAGCAGCATTAAGGGATTATTAATAACCCCTTTCATTTGTATGATCCCTTCAAAAATATTGTTTCACTTTAGCATCACAACAACCCCTGTGAAACAGATATTATTTTATGGTGTAATTTTATTACCTTTGAATAAGGAAACTCTTCAGAGAAATATGTTATAATTAAGAACTTTATGTCCCATGTGTAGATTTGAAATCATGACAAGGTCCCCAGAAGGAAGAAATCACCAGTTATCTAATGCTAATGCTGACATAAAGCCTAAGGCTGGATTCTCTGTGCTGAGTTGGGGGTGTCTCTCCAAGACAAGTCACTCCCAAAGAGTTGGCTAAATATGCGTGGCTATTATTGCATTTTGTTTAGGACTAGAAAATCGGTTCTCTAGTTCAATGAATAATTTTAAACTAGCCTAGAAGCCAACCTCATGGAGCGTATTTCTACCACTCATGCTCATATTTAGTTGTTCAGTTGTGTCCAACTCTTTGCAACCTCATGGGCTGTAACTCGCCAGGCTCCTCTGTCCATGGGATTTCCCAGGCAAGAATATTGGAGTGGGTTGCCATTTCCTCCTCCAGGGGATCTTCTTGACTCAGGTATTGAACCCATGTCTCCTGTGTCTCCTGCATTGGCCGACGGCTTCTTTACCACTGAGCCATTTGAGAAGCCCCTTCATTTCTCCTCTTACTAGTTACTCAGTCGCTCCTGTAGATTGAGTACATACTCTGTGTCTGGCGCTCTGCTGAGCAGTTCTGTGCTATTTCATTTATCATTTCACTCTTAATCAGTTACTCTCTTCAGTCTTTCTCATTTAGAAGCAAGTATTCTCTCTCAGCAGGGTTTTGACATAGAAGTCTTTTATGGAAATGAACTGTTGATAAGCTATCTGCAGCATTACTGAGCTTTGCATTTTTCTTTATATGTTTAAAAGCAAGAAATTCTGATGAAAGAATGTTCTGGTGTGCAAAGAAATAGAACTTACTTGCAATTTCCATACAGCCACTCCCTTTTTGTGTGAAAAGAACTCACATCATTTCATTGCATTTTTTTTTCATTTCATTGCATTTTATGTCAGATATAAAAACACAATGTATGCGTGCATGCTCAGTCATGTCCGACTCTGCGATCCCATGGGCTGTAGCCCACCAGGCTCCTCTGTCCAGGGAATAGACAATAGATTCTCTAATAAATAAGGAATACTTAATGTTTTATTTTTTTTCTAAGCTTAATGGTCCATTCTTTGAGAGTTTGCCAAGGTTTTTGAGCACAATAAAATTCTTAAATAGCTTACAAATTGATCATGTTATAGTAGTAGAACATTTGCCTTCCTATGCTCAAAGGAGAAATATACAGATCAGTGTTGGTAAGTCAGTCCAAGAAACTTTCAAAATACTGTTAATAAATGGTAGCATGTTAGCATAGACAGTATGAGTTTCTGACTGTTGTTTTCATGACACTATCTATGCCCTATTGGAATTGGAAAGAATTGGAATAACAATGAAACATTTGCAATGAGAAGTGAAACCTTCTAACAAAACAAGATGATTCCCTTATTCCCCTTTCCTTCCTGCAGACCGGAGTCGATCTGAGTTAGATTTGAGCGGGTCATTTACAGAAGACTTAGAGGATACTGTAAGCATAAGGAGCAAATCTGTCCCTGGGGCTTTAGACAAAGACTTGGTAAGTTGGATATGGAAGAGTGCCTAATGGTCATGAACAAAGGGCACAGGCTTATTCCAAACCTGTCCACTTTCGGGGAGGATGAGTTGAGAGTGAAGTGAGGATATACAATCATTTCTTCCTATTAGTCTTCACAACTAACATAAAAACAAATATGATTTAGAAAAGGTAACAGGTGATCAGGTAAATGAGTGACGAGTATCTCTAAGAAAACACCTGTTGGGGATTTCAGTTCCTGGTTAAAAGCATGTCACTTAATCTAAACCCAGAAAAAGTAAGGAATCCTAACGTTTCCTAAATCCAACATTACTAGACTTATCTGACTATAGGTTTTATAGGAACACTTCTACATCTCACGTTATCCCCCTAAACTGTCTTCTCAATTGAGACTAACTTAAGTGAAATTTAATGTTTAAGGTAAAGTCATTCGTGAAATGAGAACATTGAATTAAATTATTGTGAAGGTTCTAATATTCTGAAATTCCTATTTCTACAATATCTATAATCCAATTTGAACTCTTTGGATGAAAGATAAGACAAATGCTAAATGACATTATTACAATTTTTCTGACACAAAACAGGAAACTTAATTCTAACACTCAATGTTATTTACTATAGTAATAAAAAACTACAAAGTATTTGTAAATCTACCACAAAAGGGCAGCGGTGGCAGTGGGCAATGAGAGCAAATGGTTTCAAAGCTTACTTGGTATTCAGCCTTTATTTTTTATTATTATGATTTTTTTTGGTATTCAGCCTTTAAAGAACAGATATTTCCAATGTTATTAAACTATTACTGATCATATAAAATCTTCTGAAAATCTTCAAATTCATGATATGAAGCCATTTTATATAACCTGAATATTCAAACTTGATTTTAAAAATAGTTTAAAAAAAGAAAGCTACAAAGTAAATTAATTTATAAATATATACAGAAAACTTGAATATATACACAAATCTAGCAGTGAATCAAAAATATTGCAATAAGCAAGTTTTATTCTAGGTTTGAATGGAAGAATTAATCTCTATAAGAATATCTTTTACATAATTAATATTTCACTATATTAAAGGAGAAAATAAAAACTACATCAATAGATGCGGAAAACTTTTTAAAAAGAGAATGTAATTCGAACAGGATGCATAATACTAGCTTCACCCAGGGTGAGAAGGAGGACCAGGGAAGAGAGGAGAAACCAAAAAGAAAGGTATCCTTAAATTAAAAAAAAAGAAAATAGTATGTATGATATAATCCATTTATCTGTGTGTATATGTACCCTGTTCATCAAAGATTATTGAAATTTGATTATTAATATGTGAGTGGAGATACAAGTTTTTTTAATCTATATTGCTTGAAATTTTTACTATAAAAATGTACTATTTAAATAGCCAGGGGATAAAAAAGTGGGGAAAGAAAAGTAGAATCTGGAATTTTGGATAAGAAACCAATATGTAAAATAGTTTATTCTATTGGAGAGATTTTCAATATACATTTCCGTGTCTTAACAGTATATATACATACACAGGCATGCATTAATGTGCGCACACACACACACATACACACACAAATGCACCTCAACTTTTCAAATTAAAAAGTAAGTACTTTGCTCAAAGTGAATCACTTTAGTGAGCAGGGAAGGAGGGATTGAACGCCCAGATCTGTGTGATTCCACATTTCATGGTCTTTCCATAAAGCAAGCATCACTAGGAAGGAGACCCCAATCTTCAGATGGTTGTAATTCAGGTCGAATGGAGAGCAATAGAGCAAAACCTAGGAATGGAGTTTTTTTATATATTTGTATCTGATATTTCAAGTATTTAAAAGCAGTGTTTTCAAATATTGTATATTAATGCATATATTTGAAATCTAGATGGACGATACTGACGAATCTGTTCACAGAGCCACAGTAGAGACACAGACATAGATAATAGGCTTATGGACAAGGGTGGGGGAGAAGAGGGAGAGGGTGAGTTGAATGGAGACAGGAGCATGGATACTTATACACTAACATAGGTAAAATAGATAGCCGATGGGAATTTGCTATAATAACTCAGGGAACTCAAAGTGGGGCTCTGTAATAACCTAGAGGAGTGGGAATGGGCGGGAGGTGGGAGGGAGATTCAAGAGGGAGCGGACGTATGTACATCTATGGTTAATTCATTTTGATGTATGACAGAAATAAAATCAGTGTCATAAAGCAATCATAAATCAATTATAAATAAATATTTTTAAAAGTTTTGTAAGTGAAAAGACTTTCTAGGAAAGACACCAAGCCACTGATTTTATTCCCCCGCATCCTTCCTTAGGATTCCTTGGAAGAGATGGAAGATGGCATTGATGACTTAGTGTCCTCCCAGTTTTCTTCAAATACCCACAGTCTAGCGAGTGGCCTGTCAACAGTAAGCAATTCTTGAGCATGCACTGGAATTTTCTTCTTTCTCTTGTTGATTTTCTTTGCATTTCCAAAGAAGAGAATCCAAAGAACTTCCAAAGAAGTTCTTGGAAAACGCAGGATCATGAATTAAAGTTATTATAGTCTCCTGCTTGCCTTTTGTCCAGAGTACCTTTTATTCAAATTTTGTGGGGGCTTTTCCTAAGGCTCCTGATTCCTACTTTAAAAAAACCTCTCCCCACCACGTTTTAAAGCCTCATCACTCCCTAGTTCAGGCTCTCATCAGCTGAACCCTCTGAATTATCTCAGTTCTTAGTTGGTAAATTTCCCTGCTGCCATTCTCTCAGTTCCTCAGATGTCCTCCTTCCTACCACCAGTCACTTTCCTCACTTTCCTTAAACACATAGCCAAGTAACTTTCTTTCTTATTCGTACATCAAGTCCATAACTTCCCACTCCTACAGAATAATGTCCCATCTTACTTTGGTGTTTGAACCCTTCTTTGAGAGGGCTTTAGGTGCCCCTGGGTCTTTTTATCTATCTGTATGCCTCCAAGTCTTTTCTTGGTGTCTTTTATTTCCGTCTGTTGCTCTAATATGCTTTTCTCTTTTGACCTTTGGGCGACTTCCTTAAAGAATTCTCAAGCAGGCTCTGACAGGAAATGGACCTACCTAAGTGTGCCTGATGCTGACTCAGACACTGTGAGTGTTCAACCTTTCCTTTTTCTTTTTTTCAATCGTTCTTCATGGATTTCACGGTACAGAAAATCTCATTAGCTAGCCAATTTTTCCAGCCTTTCTGACTCATGTACCATTAACCAGCAATCCTCTTTTAAAAGGTAAATAATATAATCAGAATCCAGGTATTCCAAAGAAAACACATTTTTTAAACATTAGAATCTGTGGACTAGAGAAAAGATACATGGTCCAGAATGGTTTACTATGAACAAGGCACCTTTTCATGGGATTCTCCAGGCAAGAATACTGGAGTGGGTAGCCATTCCCTTCTCCAGGGTATCTTCCCAACCCAGGGATCCAACTTGGGTCTCCTGCATTGCAGGCAGATTCTTTACCCTCTGAGCCACCAGGGAAACCCCTTAGAATAAACATCTCTGTTTAAATCACAGCATTGGTTTGGTTAAAAGCATAGTTTGGTTAGTAGTAAAATTCTTGTAACTTCTTCAGTTTCTTCCAAGCTTCTGCAATAGTGGGTTCTTAAACTGGATTTTCTATGTACGGATCTCCTGCTTTAACAGAGGACCCTCTTTGAAGGACTGGCTACAGAAGGATGTGGTATAGATACAAGTCAGTGACTCAAGGGGTTAGTAAGGTATGGTGCGGAGGTCCTCAGACTAAAAATCTGGAAATCTTTTGCTTTGCTGTCAACAACAACAAAAAATTAATCAGTCGATCTAAGAAAGTAATGGGAAATTCTATTGGCTCCATATTGAAGATTATAACCTGGGAACAGCATCTCAGAAAGCTCCAAGAACTGTTCTGCCCATAGAAGTCAAGCACAGTTATATGTTTTTTTGAGACAAAGGGGCTATACATTAAATGATATGTTACTGACGGTTTACACAATTCAGATCTAAGCATCATTGTGTCCCCTTATAAGAGCGTAGGAGGAATACTGTCTTTTAAGGAGTTGTCTTATGGGTGCTCGAAGGATGTTGTTGTTTACTTCTGAGCAGGTATTCTTGCTGATGAGGAAGGTCTGGTAGACACATACTGCAGATACATAATGCACAGTAGAGGGGAGCGAGGAGGCCAAAGGGCAGATGAGCTTTTTCACGTTCAAATTTTTCTTGGGGAATTCTCTGGTGGTCCAGTGGTTAGGACTCCACACTTTCATTGCTGAGGGCCCAGGTTGGTCAGGGAATTAAGATCCTGCAAGCCATGTGGTTCAGTGAAAACAAAAAAGAATGTTTAAATTTTTCAAGCTTTGCCATAAAATATGAACTTTATTTCACAATATTTTGGCACTGCCAATAATTTCTGTGAGCCAGACATGACTCATATGTGACATGAGGGGTTTGGGGCTTATTCTCAAGGCCCTTGAAACTCAAAGCATGGTCTGTTGACCAGCAACATGGAGTGACCTGAGACAGAGACTCTCAAAGGCTGTCAGTTTACAGAACCACTAGTGTCTCTGTGGTAATTTCATAACACTGCTAGGCCAAGTGAAAATGAAGTCGCTCAGTCAGGTCCGACTGTTCGCGACCCCATGGATTGTAGCCTACCAGGCTCCTCAGTCCATGGAATTTTCCAGGCAAGAGTACTGGAGTGGGTTGCCATTTCCTTCTCCAGGGGATCTTCCCAACCCAGGGATCAAACCTGGGTCTTCCACATTGCAGGCAGACGCTTTACCGTCTGAGCCACCTAGCCCAGTTATTAAATAGTTAGCTTGGAAAAAAAATAAGCACTGGTATCTTAACAACTTAATAGCCATTTGAAAATATAGTGCACAGTAACCATTTGAAAAAATAATATTTTTATTCCATTCTTCATTTCAGTCACTTCGTCGTGTCCAACTCTTTTCCATTCTTAAAGAGCCCCTGAGGTGATGTGTGGGCCTAATGGGGACTACATGAGTTGGCAGCAGCATTTTCATTTCCTTTTCCTCATGGATGTTTGTGCAATACATGCTTTTTGTCATAGTTACTGCCTAAAACTCAGCTTCACATGGATAGGACTTTATTAAAAAGAAGAAAGTGGGGTTGAACGTTAACACTGTGAACTACTGTTTGCATGGTATCTAATAGTTGTCAGTGTTGTTTCCCTGGGAATTTTAAAATATCCTGCGGTGCCGCTTGTGAGTTAGGACTGGTGCTCTGGGATGCCTTAACACACAGTTTGGGAACTGTGGACCTAGGAGTTTGTTAGAAAAGCAGAATCGCAAGGCTTCCCTGGTGGTCCAGTGGTTAATAATCGACCATGCAATGCAAGGGCCACTGGTTCAATCCCTGATCTGCGAAGATTCCACATGCTGCAGAGCAACTAAGCCCTTGCGTCACTACTATGGAGCCTGTTGCACTCTGGAGACCAGGAGCCACAACTTCTGAAGCCGGAGGGCCTAGAGCCTGAGCTCTGCAACAAGTGAAACTACCGCAATGAGAAGCCCTGCACAGCGCAACTAGAGAGCAGCCTCTGCTCATTGCAACTAGAGAAACCCTGAGTGCAGCAACAAAGACCCACTACAGCCAAAAATAAATAAACAAACCTTAAAAAAAAAAAAGAAGAAGAAGACAGAATCTCAGACTCCACCTGGTACTATGGATTAGAACCTTCATTTTAACGAGACCCCCCAAGTGATCAGTAGGCAATTAAAGTTTGCAAAGACACCTGCTATCATGAAAATTCTGATGTTTGGCTTTAGGAATCGAGTAGACGACTTAGGTCACTCACTGGCTCTTTAAGTTTTAATTTCCAAATTATTATGGAATCCTTGGTTTGCTCTTGCCCTTGATTTAAGCTTGAAAGAGAGACTGGCCATATCACCCACTGCTTTTGGATCAGTCTCTACTTTGAGCAATTGAAGCAAGGTTATGACTTTTGTTTTATATATAAACAAAAAAATATATACAAGGTATGAGGTCTAACCTCTCTTTGTACTTACTATAGTCTTTACTTCCCAGTCGTTCACAGACAGGGCTTTTGAAATGCCTAGATCACTTCTGAACGCCTTCCAGGTGGTCTTTTGTGACAGTTGTGTTGCTAAGACACAGAGTTCATGTTGCTGGCACTACAGGATAATTTTGTACGTTTAATTTAAAATGCATCTCTTGTTATTAGTGGCCCATCAGAACTTTCATTCGTTCTGGCACATTTGGACGGGGTTTCTTTCTGCATTTTAATTTTATTTACTGGCTGGTGTATTATTTTCTTGTTTAGCGTTCTGTTTGTGAGTTGCTATTTTATAGATGTGTAGAAAGCCACAGTCATATTAGTTACTAACCCTGTGGCCTCACAACTGGTCAGGGGAGTCCAGACAGCTGTGGGCAGTGATGTTCTCATGGCGTGCCCTTTTGGAAGATGCAGTTATGTTACAGAACCAATCTTGGGTCTGGTTGTCTGGGTACAGTAAAAGCAATCTACTGACACCAGGTTGTGGTGAAGGAAAGTGCAGTGTTTATTGTGTAGATGTCGAGGATGGCTGACTGGTGCTTGAAACCCCTCAAACTTCCTGAAGGGTTTCAGCAACGCATTTCTAAAGGCCAGGAGAGGGTCGCAGGTCTCAGAGTATGTGATCAGCTTGTGCACAGTTCTCTGATTAGTTGATGATGATCAATCCTTAGGCTACAGAAGGTCTGGGGGCTATGTGCTCATGGTCATCAAATTGTTAATTTCTTCCATTTGATGCGGGTTGTAGCATCTGTAAAACAACTCAGGAAATGTGCATCAGATTCTATTAATATTATCTGGGTACTTCAGAGGCAATAAAGTAGAGGATAAAGGGGAGGGGCTACGTTGGGAAGGCCACATATGGTCCTGCTGGCTTATAGTATGGCTTCTCAGAGACTTATGGGATGGAATACTCTATGTAGGTATCAGAGAGAGAAGCTCGTAGCTTATCCTTGCACAGAAATATGGGTTTTTTTTCCTTTGTCCTCATCAATGCATTCTAGAACTTGAAGTAGACTGACCTTGAGTCTCCCAGTGAAAGAGGAGAAAGCTACAGGGATGGGGAGAGGAGATGGAATGGAAATGCCTATGTCCCCACATTCATTAGAAGTGAATAAACAAAGGCTATTCACTAACCCAAAAAGGCAATGCATCCCCCCTCAGCGAGTGTCCTGCCTTCCTTACTAATGGTCCTAGACTTTGTCCTTTCTCAGGCTTGGATTTTATGCAACACCAGAAAAACAAGCCATCTTTTGCTTTCTTCCTTCACAGTAAGCTTCCCTGCTTACTTATAAACAACGGGAATTGTAATTGAATGGGGGGAGGTAGCTTCTGTGCAGAGATCACTAGCATAACCTGGGATGCCTCTTTTCATCTTGATGATTCCAGACCAGCCTGAACAGCATGATGAGTGTTTACAGTGAGACAGGAGACTATGGCAACGTGAAGGTCAGCGGGGAAATCCTTTTGCACATCAGCTACAGCTACGAAACTGGCGGGCTCTACATTTTTGTCAAGAACTGCAGAAATCTGGCCATAGGAGATGAAAAGAAACAGAGGACAGATGCGTAAGCACATAGCATGTTCCCCGGACTGTTTCAATCACTGCCCATGTGAATTACGTGTATGTGTCAGCCTGTGTGTTTCTTTTTCAGAAGCCTTTTAGCATTCATCTAGAATCAGAAGGTTGATCATCACTTTCTCCCTCTGCCACACTTCTAAATATTCTCTGACATGCATGTATAATGGTTGCATTCGTAGTTACCTGAGTCTTATTTTATTTAAAAAAAAAATTTTTTTTTTGGCTGCACATTATGGCTTGTGGGAATCTCATTTCCCTGGCCAGAGATTGAATCCAGGCCATGGCACTGAAAGTAGCAAATCCTCACCACTAGACCACCAGGAAACTCTTAAGATTTCAAAGAAGCTATTACTCAGCATGATTCAGGACTCACAGATTTGTAGTTCACACAGAGGCAGCTCTTTGTTATATAAGGCTAACACGTTGCACACCCCAGGCTGTATGAGAGTATCCTATTAATTTTTGTTCTGGGAAACCCTCCAGAAAAAATTACCAAGCTGTTTGCCCAATTGAACAACTTGAAAGGGCAATTATGAGGCTCTCGGGATTTCCAGGATCAGCCTGGGAGGGCAGGTAAGACCATGGGAAGGTAAGACCCAGGGCTTCCCAGGACCACTGCCAGTTTGGTGAGTCATTCTGAGGACCCACAGGTCTCCACAGACAGTCATAATCAGTAGAGGGAAAAGGCATATGTGGCAAAGTTCAAGAGAATCAAGGCTCAAGCTTCCAAGGACCTCTCCCAGTGGAGTCACATAGGATGTGCTTAAGTCCTCCAGCCACAAGTGGTGAAAACACATGGGGAGTGCTGTCTACCAGGGAAGCTCACTGAGAGACTCAACTGGTCACGTACCAAAATCCCAGTCTCCTACATGAAAGCAGGTGTTCAGCAGGAGCCATACTATTTCCACAAATATTTCTGGCACAGTGAGCCCCTTATTTCTGTTCTCGGAGTGATGAAAATCCTCCTGAAACCCAGGTTCTGCATGCTAGCCAAGAGCCAAACTTATAAACAGATATTTCAAATGAGAGCAGTCTCAGACCCGCTGTTTACCCTTTTTCTACATGATAGATAACCTAGGTTTAATACACAGCTCAGCAAATCTGTTTCCAAAACAGACAAATGAGTAGACAAATAGATTGGTCTGGTTACCTCCTTAGCTAAATATCAGAGAGCTTCAGGATTGGTATCATCAGTCTCAAAGGGATCATCTAAAGCCACAGTAGGTGGACTTCAGGACTCTGGTAGCATCTTTTACATTTCAGTCTTGTACATCTTGTGCATTTCTGAGTCTGCCATGATGCCCTGCTCCTGGGACTGCTCAAGGCCAGGTATTGGGGAGAATTGCTATTGTGACTTCAGGTTGTTAATTTCCTCTTTTTCACCATTTTCCTTCATTCACTCATTGACTCCACTCATCAGAAGTCCAGACATCTGAGTGGAGAGGAAAATTACCTCTATGATCAAGAGCACTTATCATAATAATAGATTATACTTATTCAGTAGTATAATATATTAGCTCCTTGTATGTGTCAGCTCATTTGATCCTTATCATCCCCTAAGTCATCATCCCAGGTTTTCAGATGGTGAAACTGAGATACAGAGAGATTAAGTAAGATCTTGAGTTCCCCCAAACCATTGACACCTGGAGTAATTCAAACCCAGCTGGCTTGACTCTAGAACCCGCTCTCTTTACTACAAGAATTTACAACTTCTCTCTTATTGAAGGTCCAGAGTTATATTTCAAAATGTCCTGGTATGTAAACCACATTCTCTTTGGTTCTGTCTCTTATACTCACTAGCCTGTTTCTTTTACCCCTTTTATTCACTGAGGTCCCTGAGCATTTCTCTCAAAGTAGATGTTTCCCAAGGATTACTTTCATTTTTTTTTATCATATACAGTTATGTCAAGTCATACCTTCTTCCTGATAAGTCCAGAAATAACAAGCGCAAGACCAAAATAAGAACAGGCACCAATCCAGAATTCAATGAAACCCTAAAGGTAAATCAATACTCTTTCATGGTAACTTTAATGACTCGATTTACCTCATTGGTTTAGATGTAACTGTAAAGGATTTGCATGTCAAGGCTTATATGTATTTTAGAAAAGCAGAATGTGAGTCAGTTGGCTTTCTGTTTCTGGAAAAGAAAGCAATGTAAACCACTCTTAGTCTATTTCTCTGCTGCTCCCAAGATTACACTGGAAGTAGAGATTATCCAGGAAAATTACATCTGACTTGGTATCGATACCTCTTGTCCAAAAGTATGTTTCACCCTTGAGAAAACAATTTTTTTTCTAGTTCCCTGTAAAAGAAGTTTGTCCAAGTTTTGGCCGTAACTTAGCAGGTCACTCTATACATATTCATTGTTCTGCTAACGCAGCATTAAAATGTGCTGTTTCTTGTTAGGGTTTCAGAATTTGGCTAAATTTATGCATGTGGTTAATGAACAGTGGAGATGCAGGGCTAGATTTGAAAAATCTCAGAGACAGTGGCCTAGGTAAGATATAACCCAGGCCCCAATTCTAGAGACATTACTTTTTCCCGTGGGCCTCCATGTAACCTCTTCCCTCACCCTGGACACAGTTGGCCTGGTAAGAAATTTCCAAGGGGATGGGGATGTTGATGTTACTGCCAGTCGCAGGGTAACTTATGGATCTTGGAGCCAGAATGATGGAGTCATGGAGTCCACCACAGGAGGAAGTTGGCGAGTGGGGGCATGTGTCAGCAGGGTCATATGTGAAAGCAGGAGGCAGTATCAAGAGGGGTCAAAGTGAAAAGGAATGAATATATGCAGAGGGTGAATCCAGCAGCCATGGCAGGATAGCAAAGATGAGCCGAAGCAGAGCAGATAAAGAGAATGACGTGGCAGATCTGGGAAGCAGGGCCAAAGTGAATCATGCCAGAAACAGCAAGGATGATGCTAATCCAAGATGAGGAATCAGTCAGTCTGAGGCATGTCTGAGGTGATATTTGCAGAGGAAAATCAGGAGATTTTGAGGGGGTGTGGGTATGTGGCCCCAGATAATGTTCTGCTGGAAAAGGGAAAACCATGCCAGTGATATTTTCTTTCTGCTCAATCTATGTATATATTGATTTCACCCCTGCACTTAGGCTGAACTTTAGGAAGTTTGACATTTGCAAGTTTTTCACTGTCAAACTTTCCTGGATTTAGGTCTTATTATTCTAAATAAGACAGAGAAATTAGAGACTTGATACATTAAACCTGGCACTTACAAAGTAGCTGTTGACAAAATAATTAGGCAAGTAAAAAGCAAGTAAAGCTGAACAGGGGACAGGCTTTATCACCTCACACTTTTTATATAATATCTGAAGTTTATCAAACCCCCATGAAAAGCTTGTCAATAGATCTTTCAGTGATAGGTCTCACACAAATGAGTTTATGGAATAGAACCTGAGTTGCAGCAGAAACGAAGAAAAAAGAAGTGTTTTTCTCTTGGGTTTGTTTTGTTTGTATTACTATTGCATATGATCTGGAAGCTGGTGGAAGTAAATTTCATCCTGTCCTAGAAATGGAAATGAAGTGTAATATTGTAAATCTGGTTTTGCAGTACACCATCAGCCATGCCCAGCTGGAAACGAGAACTCTGCAGCTCTCAGTCTGGCATTATGATCGATTTGGACGGAATAGCTTCCTGGGGGAGGTGGAGATTCCTTTTGACTCATGGAACTTTGACAATCCAAGTGATGAGTGGTTTGTGCTTCAACCCAAGGTAGGAAATGCTTCCAGATGAGTCAAACACTTATACAAGGAATGAGCAAAACTGATGTCAGAGGCCTAAAGAATCTGAAGACCTCTAGTTGTCAAGTGATAATCTGAAAAGACTAGTGCAGCTTATTTTGGAATGATATAATAAATGTAAATGCACTCTTTTGGAAATCCTTCTTTGATATAGACTGTAAAATGCAACCCATAATCTTGCATAATCATATTTCTTATTAATTTGACCTGCTAAAAATATAGTCAGTATTGAATAGTCACCATGGAGAAACAAAAGAATATGTTATATGATCCTATCAGGTCAGAAAAAAATATTTTTCAAGGCTGGTATTAGAAATTAAATGCTACTATGGTATGTTCTAAACTAAACCAACAGTGCCTGGGATTCACTCTGCAGTTGGTATCTCTACAGTAATTTTTGAAGTCAAAAGTGAGATGGGATAAAGGTCCCACTTATGTAACCAAAGATTGTTCTTTATATAGACAAAGGGGAAAAGAACATGATGGTTAAGATAGTGGACTCAGATCAGACTTCCTGGGTTCAATCCTGGCTTCACGACTCTCTGTGTAACCTTGGGGAAGTTACTTAACTTCCCAGGCCTTGGTGTTCTCATTGGTGATGTAAGAACTGGACATCAGTTTTAGGGATGCTGTGAGGCTTGAAGAAGCCTGCCTTGTGATACTTGTAGTGTCAGGCACATTGTAAACTTCTCAATAAATGCTAGGCAGTGTTTGTTACGTTGGAATACTTATATTGCAATTGGCAGAAACCCCAGCTCACACTACTCAAAAAATGAAAGGAAATTATTGACCAGAGATGATCAAGCATGGCTTGATCCAGATGCTTGGGTCTTAGCAAGGCCCTGGAGTGTCTTGATCTCTCTTCTCTGTATTGGCTTCACTTGCAGACTTCATGCATTGTGGGCCTCCCCTTACTAATCCCAGGCCTGCTTCTCTTGAACACAGCAACAGCTGCAAACCTCTCATCCTTGCCTCACACTGTCCAGGACAGGAAAGAGTTCCTCCTCCTCCCAACAGTCAAGCCAACACCCTGGACCTGGTTCCTAATTCTCATGACAGTATTTGCCCATCCTTAGCCAATCATTGCAGCCAGAGAGGAGAGATACATTGAGGGGCTTAAGACCATCAGAACATAAAACTGGCCCTGAAGGTGGTATCACCCTCAAAGAAATTCAGGTACAATAATACTAAAAAGGAAAAATGATGAATGAGTGCTAGACAGCAAAAACAAACATTGATCATCAATAATAGCGCTTGTTTATCATCATGAGTAGTAGCATCGTTCACATCTCATGGTTAGAACCACCGCTAAGCATTGTTATCCCCATTTTATATGAGGAGCCTGAAACTCAGAAGTTAAATACAAGTTTCTAGTGGGTTTTATAAGTGTTGACCTCAAAAACTTGGTATAAGTAACTCATGGACAACCTTTAGGAGGTTTACTTTGACTCTGGGTAAAATTGATAATGAAATAGGGATCCTCAAACAGAAAACAACCTCACTCCCGTGACTCACATAAATGTGGTAGAGAGAGGAAGTATAATGTTAAGAACAAATAAGTCCACAGTAGCGTAACATTTCTCTGACATTATTAATAAATATGAGAAATATTTGGTCACTACAGCATTAAAGGTCTGTGAATTGAATGAAAAGTCTCACCATAAAGGATAGCAATTGAGTTGATTTAAATCTTCTGGCACTTGCTTCCTTTTGTGTATAATGAGTATCAAAGAATCATAGAAAATGTCCAGCACATCATGTGATGTGTGACACTGATGAAGGACAAGTAACATGCATCTAAGTCCATGAAATTAGCTTGTCCATCAGAAATGTAACAGGAGAGCACAGAGGAGCTGTTTTGGACACCCGCTTGGAGGGTTTCTGGTCAGTTTCTTGGAAATGGTTGGAGGATTTGCTCTGAGATGATAGCAGTACTCTCTCAGGCATTGTTTTTGCTTAGGGGCCAGCAGCTTTCCATGATAATCACCTTCACATTGACATTGAGTGGTTTGATTTTTTTTTTTATCACAAGTGAGAAGCATCTCTCTGAGGTTGCTTAGGTGGAAACATTCTGATGGTGTTTAATGTCAGTGGAACTCCTCTGGTCCTCTGCCAGAACCCCTTGGATTCCTTTAACCATGTCTCTTGTGAATTTTGCCTCCAACTGCCTCTACCTGACTCTGTTTTTAGAAGACTGTCCTCAGGCTATTGTAGATTTTTCCCATATAGGGAGAGAGTCAGAAATTCCTAAGAGCTTCTGTCCCTCCTGCCACAAGGCAAGTCTTCACCAATAACTGATAGATGGTGGAGTCTGAAAGCTCAGTTCCATTACTGAGAGAGGAAAAGCTCTGAGGCATTATTTACCCTCCAGAGCTCTCCTCCTGGATCAGAAGTCCTCACCTGGCTTCCTCCTCTTCCCCAACCTATCTCCCCAGCTCTTTCCCTGCCCTAGCTTGGGAGCCTTTCCTTAATAGGTCACTTGGAAAAGAATCCTCACCTCAGCGTTGGTTTCTGGGAAGAAGTTGAATAGCAAGGTGTTAGTCACTCAGTCATGTCTGGCACTTTGTGACCCCATGGACTGTAGCCCGCCGGGCTCCTCTGTCTGTAGGATTCTCCAAGCAAGAACACTGGAGTGGGTTGCCATTCCCTTCTCCAGGGGATCTTCCTGACCAGAGATTGAATCCATGTCTCTAGCAGTGGCAGGTGGATTCTTTGCCATCTTCTGGGAATACAATCTAAATTAGTGTCTAATCCATGTCACCTTTTCCTGCCAAGCTTTCTCTGACATGTATAGAGGAAAGGCTGCAGGTTATTCAGACTTGCTTAGATACCATGCCTTCCAAATTTTATTCTCTGTCTCCCTCCTCAGTTGTTTCAATGCAGTAGCTGCTTCATCAACTATAGCTCTAGTATGAGCTGCCCCAGATACTTGATGTTTCTCATAGATTATCCAGCTGAGGAACTGAAGGGTGAGCTACAGGGACCAATTTCCTTGGTAACAAAGGATCAGAAATAATATTTCTTAAACATTCAGAAAGATGGACATCCTTTGGCAGTGGGAAGATTGGAAAGACAGAGTGCCTTATTGCTTATCGACTGTTGGTGAAAAGTCCCTGGACACCTACCTTTGATTTTGCTATGTCTTCCCACCCGTCAGAAGGCTGGTGCAGACAAAGAAAGAACTCACAATGCCAGATGTACTTACTGTAAAGTAGTTTCACGGTATAACTCCCATTTTACAGCATGATGTGGGATTGTTTATTAGCTGTAATTCATTATCTTACTGAAAGATAAGAAGAGCTTGTCAGTGTAAATTGCCTTTCATGTATTCCCAGAAGGTGCTATTATAAAAAGGACCTTTGAATGTCAACAGCAAGCTTAAGTGGTTTTCCAAGGAAGCCTTCTCTGTCCCACCTTCAGGCAGAGTCAGTGTAACAGGAGGTCCTGTAGAGTCATTGCCTAGCTATAGGGCTCTCTTTATGTGGTATTTTGGGCAGACTTGTGTCCATAATAGATGACCCCACCTTAGCCCTGTAAATGTGCTGGGAACTCTGCTTCCTACTCCGATTGGCAGTGGATTCCTGTCTCTTCAAAAATCAAAAGATAATGGGCATTATCAGATTATTCCCCACCCCTGCTGAGTCAGATTTCTTCAGTGTTTCCCTATTGACTCTGGATATGGTTTGAGTAAATCCTAACCCTCACCCTGGCACTCAGCGCTCAGTGGGTGTGGCCCAGTTTTCTGGAGCAGAGGAGTATGTCAGTGCTTTACCTGTATCCCCATTTTCATTCGTACGTGGCTCCCCTCAGCTGCCCCTCCTGCCAGCCAGTATCTGCCAGTCTTCGTAGGATAGGCATCCTCAGGCTGCTGGAGTGGGCTTGGAATGTGGATGTCGAAAGCCAGAATAGCCTGGGTATTTCAGCCTTGTGGGAGTTGAGGGCAGAGTCCTTGGTCAATAACTGATGGGTGAAGGAATATAATCACTCTAGCATCTTTGCTCTGATCAGGACCACTCCAAGGTGTGATCTGTCTTGTCTTCAAAGCTCCCCCATGGAATTGAGCAAGGGTTACTCTCCCTGAAACTTGACCTGACCTTGTGACCTTGGCAAACCTCTCTTCACTTCACAGTTCAGCTACCCTACTGCCCATCCTAATAAAACACTGTAATAGAAATTTGTGTCTTCGGGTCTCCTGAGGACCCTTGTTTTCATCTTCCTTGCTGCTTCCTCCCTGTATACACACATCTGAGCACACCTCCCAACCAGCGCTCAGACACATTCTACACAATCCCCACTGAATTCCGTGCATCCTACTTTGTTGCTTACATGTTAAGTCACTTCAGTCCTGTCCTACTCTTTGTAACCCTTTGGACTATGGCCAGCCAGGCTCCTCTGTCCTTAACCCAGGCTAATCTTCCCCCACCCCCCTATCTTCATATGTCATCATGTCTGCCATCCTATAAGAACCAGACAAGGGCCCCCTTGTTATCCCAGTCTAGATTACTCTCTCTTCCCACAGTAGTTTTTATTTTTTTTGGCTGCGCTGGATCTTCATTGTGGCATGGGAGCTTCTAAGTTTCAACCTGTGGGTGTCTCTTGTTGTGGAGCTCAGGCTCTAGAGTGAGCAGGCTCACTAGTTGCAGTGTACTGGCTTCTCTAGTTGAAGCCTGAGGACTTCATTGCCCAAGGCATGTGGGATCTTACTTCTCTGTCCAGGAATTGAAGCTGCCTCCCTTGCATTGGAAGGTGAATTCTTAACCACTGGACGACCAGGGATGTCCCCCAGAGTAGTTTCTTTTATAGTAGGTCCCCTACATACAAACCTTCGAGTTGTGAGCTTTTGAAGATGCAAACGTGCATTCGCATATCCAATCACGCAAGTTAATTCAAGTCTTTGGCATTATCTATAAAGCTGGGTACCTAGGCTAACTTTGTTGGACTTATGAACAAATTGGATTTACAAATGCACTCTCTCGGAACTTAACTCATTCAGTAGGGAATGAACTGTACTTGTATTTGGAGCAACTGTAATGGTTTGTGTGACACCGAGCTTGCTGTATGGTAGAAACCTTCTTCAAGCAATCAGGACCAATAATTATAGGTCAGTTCATGGACAAAGTCACAGAAGTCAAATACATACAATGTTTTCCAATTGCATTCCTTATGGAATTTCCAATGCATTTGTTAATCACTTATTTTAACTAAAATTTGTATTCATTTTCAAGTTTTCTAATACAGGGACACTTTTTGAGTATAGTTTCAGTAGTTGAAACTCTGTCATATCCTCCTGGCATACATTCTGCCCCTAATGTATCCTAATCAACAATTTCTTGTTTGAGTTTCTCTAGAGTGAAACAAAAGTTTCAGAATACTTGCAAAGTCAACCAAATGCAAAATCTTTCTGAATATTCATGATCTTTCCTCTAATCTTTTATAGCTTCAATCCCAAATAGAATCCAATAACGAATTTATTTTCACATCTTTAGTTCTTATAAGTTGGTCAACCTCATTTTTTATAGTAGCAGCTGTCTTTTGGGACTCTTCAGTTTGTGCCATTCAGTTATATAATTAGAGCCACAAATATGCCTGGCATAAAGAGCTCTGGGGACTAATGCAGCTGACTCAACTGATGGGAGCAGGCATACATGGTCTTTGTATAGAGCATCCTGCCCTTCAGTGGGAATAGAGAGCATTCATGTGCCAAATCAGTTAAATAAGAGCAGATTGATAGAATTGCTATGGAGTATATTCCTTCTAGATGAAAACTCATGGAAAGCAGGATCTCTCTGTGTCCCCATAGCACTTAGCAAAATGCCTTAAGAATCATTACTGTTGAGCCCTGAGGAGGCAGCGTTTTCTGGGCTTCTTTCTGGTTCTCTCTCTCCAGAAGGTTCTGCCGGTTCCCCCAGCTTTGGGTACCCGGCTCTACATCGCGCTGCCATGATGGGTCATCGTCCGGTGCTTGTCCTTAGCCAGAACACAAAGCGTGAATCTGGAAGAAAATTTCAATCTGGAAACATCAATGCTGCCAAGACTATCGCAGATATCATCCGAACATGTTTGGGACCCAAGTCTATGATGAAGATGCTTTTGGACCCCATGGGAGGCATTGTGATGACCAATGATGGCAATGCCATTCTTCGAGAGATTCAAGTACAGCATCCAGCGGCCAAGTCCATGATTGAAATTAGCCGGACACAGGATGAAGAGGTTGGAGATGGGACCATGTCAGTAATTATTCTTGCTGGGGAGATGCTGTCTGTGGCTGAGCACTTCCTAGAGCAGCAGATACACCCAACAGTGGTGATCAGTGCTTACCGCAAGGCGTTGGATGATATTATCAGCACCCTTAAGAAAATAAGTATCCCTGTCGACACCAGTAACCGAGATATGATGTTGAACATCATTAACAGCTCCATTACTACCAAAGTAATCAGTCGGTGGTCGTCTTTGGCTTGCAACATTGCCCTGGATGCTGTCAAAACTGTACAGTTTGAGGAGAATGGCCGGAAAGAGATTGACATCAAGAAATATGCAAGGGTAGAAAAGATACCTGGGGGCATCATTGAAGACTCGTGTGTTTTATGTGGAGTCATCATTAACAAGGATGTGACCCATCCACGAATGCGACGCTATATCAAGAACCCTTGCATTGTGTTGCTGGATTCTTCTCTGGAATATAAGAAAGGAGAGAGCCAGATTGACATTGAGATCACACGAGAGGAAGACTTCACCCGAATTCTCCAAATGAAAGAAGGTACACTCAGCAGCTCTGTGAGGACATTATCCAGCTGAAGCCAGATGTGGTCATCACAGAGAAGGGCATCTCCGATTTAGCTCAGCACTGCCTCATGTGAGCAAATATCACAGCCATCCGCAGAGTCCGGAAGACAGATAATAATCGCATTGCTAGAGCCTGTGGGGCCCAGATAGTCAGCCGGCCAGAGGAACTGAGAGAAGAGGATGTTGGAACAGGGGCAGGCCTGTTGGAAATCAAGAAAATTGGAGATGAGTACTTTACATTCATCACTGAATGCAAAGACCTCAAGGCCTGCACAATTCTTCTCCGTGGGGCTAGCAAAGAGATTCTCTCGGAAGTAGAACGCAACCTCCAGGATGCCATGCAAGTGTGCTGCAATGTTCTTCTGGACCCTCAGCTGGTGCTGGGGCGGGGAGCACAGAGCCAACAGAGTCTCCCCCTTCCCTGAGCCAGACTGCCAGGGACACTGTGGATATCTTTGTTTGGAAGGGATCAGGTTGAGGGGCAGCCCCAGTCTTTTTCTGTCCCAGCTCAATTTGCAAAAGGCACTGACATGTAATTCTTCTCTCTTGTAAGCTTTCCATTTAGTTTACTTCTGATGATTAAATCTAAGTCATTTGAAAAAAAAAAAAAAAGAATCATTACTGTTGGGTGGGCCAAAAAGTTTGTTCAGGTTTTCTCATATCATTGTACGGAAAAACCTGAACAAACTTTGTGTCCAACCCAATAGAAGGAGACCTTCCATATGTGTTGGTAGTATGGAATGAATCAAATTGAATTCTGCAACCTTTTTCTGAGCAGAAGTTCGTTGAATAGTGGAAAATGGTAGTATGCCAGGAGAGGACGTTGCCTTGGAACTTCCTTGCAAGTGTACCCCTAAAAAACACTACCAAGACATTAGCTGTGTGCAGGTTGAAGATGACTCCATCCTTGGGCTCTCTTTTGTATGTGATTTTAATCCTATAATCTCTGCAAGTATGCTATTAGTATAGATAGTATAGTATAGTATAGTATAGATAGTATAGTATAGTATAGTATAGATATCTCTAGTATGTGACACTTGAACATAGAATTTTCCCTGTCAATACATTTTCCTACCCAGAGGTCTCAGCTGAAAGCAAATAGAGCTTTCACTGGTTAACTGTTGTTGTATAGAAAACTACCCTAAACCTCAGTGGCTTAAAACAACCATTTATTATTATTGTTCTTGAGTCTGTGGGGGTGACTGGGCTCAGGAGGTGATTCTATTTAAAATCTCTCATGGTTGCATCTAGATGGTAGACTGAGGCTGAAGTCATCTGAGGACTTAACTGGGCTGGTTGGTCCAGTTGGATGTCTCACACTTGATGTTGGCTGCCAGCTAAGAACTCATCTAGGCCACCAATTAGAGCACCTACGTGTGGCTTCTCCATGTGATATGGACCTCACATCATGGATTCCCAGAGGGAGAATCCCAAGGATATTCATTTCAAGAGAAGAAATGGAAGCCGTTCATCTTAAGACCTGGCCCTAGAAACTGGCACATTGTCACTTCTGCCATATCCTACTAGTCAGTGCAGTCACAGAGCCCCTCAGATCCAAAGAGAAAGGGCAAATACCTCAACCCTCATTAGCTATAGTATCAAAAAGAAAAACAAACCCAGTGACCTCTCTTATCTATCATAATATCCATGATAATATTCCATTTGTGACTTTTACATAAACTAAACTTTCCTGAAACCATCAAAGCAATACGAAAACTCCTCACATAAGGCACTTGATTTACAATAATAAGATTAAATGTTAAATGGATAGTCTGTTTCACCACCTAATCTCATTTGTGCCTCTGTCAAGATAGCTGAATAAAACTATTCAAATGTTTTTCCCAGCCATACTAATAAGGTTTCAATCAGTTCAGTCACTCAGTCGTGTCCAACTCTTTGCGACCCCATGAATCGCAACACGCCAGGACTCCCTGTCCATCACCAACTCCTGGAGTTCACTCAAACTCATGTCCATCGAGTCAGTGATGCCATCCAGCCATCTCATCCTCTGATGTTCCCTTCTCCTGTCCCCAATCCCTCCCAGCATCAGGGTCTTTTCCAATGAGTCAACTCTTCACATCAGGTGGCCAAAGTATTGGAGTTTCAGCTTCAGCATCAGTCCTTCCAATGAACACCCAGGACTGATCTCCTTTAGGATGGACTGGTTGGATCTCCTTGCAGTCCAAGGGACTCTCAAGAGTCT